GTTACTATTAATCACAAATGAAAGGACGTCATCTCACTGGTGTTTTCAGTGTGTGCTGCCTTTGTCTTGTTTCATCCCTCATGATGGTTGATAGTTAAAGCTATAAATCATTTGCTGCATAATCATCTCATGATTCTTAACTAATAACTGTCTTACTGCAGTTATAAATATCATTAGATTAGTGTAATTGAACTGTTGTAGCTTATGTTTTAATAGCTTTTTGGAGTGTGCACTGGAGAACGCTTCTGGATAACCTGCAGGTACATAAAGCTGCAATGACGTAAATAAGGAAAGTTTGAACATAATCCTTCTTCATAATAGCAAAAAGTAGGAGGATAGGGCTCAGGCTGAGAGTACTCATAATTTCTCTTTACTGGAAAAAAGCATGCATGTCGCACCCATAATAAAGAAATAACACCACGTTCCACCTTCTCTAGTGTTTCTTCAAAACCAGAGTGTGTTTACTGAATGTCCCTGGCTCACTCTCAACATCTCTCAATATCTTCTGCAGTTCCAATGGGAAATTTGCAGAAGTGAGCTCATTGAGTTGACTGTTTGTTTTTTACATTCCGCTGCTCTCTCCCTCTCAATTAGGTTCTTTTTTTATCTGTTTATCGTTCTTGATATTATTGTAAGCACCTTAAATGTAATAATTGCATGAACTATGCCATAAAGATTGATTGATTGAACTAGGTTTTCCTCTTTTCACTCTCATTCATATTTTCTATCCTTCCTCCCTCTCTTTGTCCCAGATTGGCTACTGGAATGACATAGACAAACTTGTTCTGGTCCAGAATGAAAATGCTCTTTCCAATGACAGCTCAGCAATGGAGAACCGGACTGTAGTCGTGACCACCATCATGGTAATGTACCCACTGACTGCTTTTATGTCTTCATAGTTCATGTAGTGTTTGATTGTCATCACTGAAGAACAGCTTTATGCAAACTCATTCTTTCCAATTCCAAAATTTAAAGCTAAAGTGTGTAACTTTTTATAAATATTTTTGTTGTAGAAATCCAACTCGAAAATTGTCTTAATGCGGAGAGGTGCTGTCGAAGCCTCCTGTGACCCAGACTCATTGAACAGCCCTGGCACCAGTACAGAGATATTAGCTTCTAAAAGTTTTTGAGTGGGATTGACTTCTCTAACCAATCTGTACTTTTCAATTAATTCAGCTTGATCATTAAGTTTTGTTGCATTCTCATTTATAATATCTGAAGACCCGGGCAGAGCATGGTGGAGTACAGTGCAGCAGGGAGAGGGAGCGCTGGGTGGAGCAGACTGGACTGATTTGGAGTTTCATGCTAATGCTGCCTTCAGTTATGTACTGTAGCTTTAATTTCACACACACAGGAAAACCTTTCTTACATCTGATGTCTCAGCTTACATCAGTTCCATGTAGAGGCTGGAGACATGGAGATGCAAATTGGTGCTAATGTATCGCACATCAGATGATTAATACCATATGTAACAGGTCCTGGATTTTCCAGGCGTGATCAAGAGCATATACAAGGAAAAGAGGGACGAGAGGAGCTTGGTTTTCTAAGAGATTAGATCTGACAACAACAACATACCGTACTAAATGTTGTCTGTTCTAAATGAATCGTAAATCGAGTGAGACGATTGCTGCAATATAAAGGTGCTATACTTTAGGTAGATACCATTCATTAGGACTATGTGTATCAGCATACAGTCACTCTACAAGCCACGGGCTGAATGTCAGGGTTTGATCATGGCCTAAAGGCTGGGGTTCATTTGTCTTAGTGGCTTTACAAGATGTGTTCAGTGTCAGACAACCACAGGATGCAAGAATAAAAGCAGAGTCGTGTGGCAGAATTTTAATAATGCTGAAGAAAAATCAGGTTGGTACAGGATGAGCTGTATGAGTTGAAGAGAGCTCTCGGAGCACAGCCAAGAGAGAGTGGCACTTGTCCAGCTGGAAGATTACGCTAATGTCTCATTAGTAGACAAATCTAAAACTGACCTCAGATCACCATTCAGAAGTGACCTCAGTCCAGTCTCTTGTAATGGCTCTCATATAGACACACAGTCTAGTGTAATTATTCCTCGTTCTTCCACAGACAAGGAGAAAGGCAGGCTAATCGGTGGATTTGTGCACATCCTCTGATTACATTTGATTTCAATTCACCCATCTGCAGCCTTTTTATGGTGGCCATCCCCTTCCTGTAAATGCAATCAGTCTAATTCAATTGGGCATGCAAAGTGATGCAAGTGAAAGCAACTCAAGACTAATTTCAGCCCATAGAAAAAAAAACAAGCCACAGATGCTAAAGCTTTGGCAATTCAGTATTTTTGTTTCGAGCCACATTGCTTCATACAGCAAACTCACAAGTATGACCAAAATATCTGTAGTTGTACTTACTGTAGTGCCATAATGTGAACAAAAATCTAAAAAGCGGGGGGGCTGTTCAAAGATGCTGCCTTGATAATAGTGTAAGATACCAGAGTGCCTCCAGTGGCAACAAGCAGCGGTAAGGAAAACAAGCACGCATGCCGCAGGAAAGAATTCAGTGAAACGAATTCAGCCGGACTAAATGTCCTCAGTGACAGCCCCACCTCCAGCTGGCAGTATATTACACCCCTGCGCAGTGTGTGGTGTGGTGCGTTGAGCTGGAACAAGCAAATACAAACACATCAGCACAATCTAATACATGGAGTGTTATTATTGTGACAATATCCAATTTTGAATATGTGTATTTTTTTAATATGCCATTACTGTCAGTGAGTAGTGTTTCTAAATGCATTCATTTAAAGTGGTTGTAAAACAAATTGTAGAATAGTTTGGCATTACTGTATACATCTTTCCTATGTTTGTTTCTGTTCCTTTTGCTCCCCTCCCATGTCTGTTTGTCATCTGACTTTTTTCAAAGCCACTATCCGCTCTCTCTCTCTCGCTCGCTGTTGTCTCTACATCTTTCTTTAATTCCACTCATCTCTTCAAGCCCCCGTGCTCTTGGTTTTTTGTTTTTGTCCCTCACCCCCGCCCCCTCCCCAGCATCTTTCTCTGTGGATGGTGACCTCAGCAGGCCTTGGCTAACGTTAGCTCAGCCTCCTCCTCCTCTTTGCAGCCTCTGATGATGAGGAAGCCTCTGGTGCGACACTGATGCTGGGTCTGCAGACAGAGCAACAGACCGAAACACAGACTCACCTGAGTCGCAGACCCTCGGGAAAGACAGAGGACAGACAGACCGCTCTGTACAAAGACTCAGTGCTCTTGTTATGTAGTGATGCCTTTTTTGTGTATGTTTTGCTTGAGAAAGGGATTTTTGGTTTTGAAACAACTGCTTTGCTTAAGGGTGGAGTACCCTGTATTACTGTTCACTACGTTTTGGGCCTGTGACACACTGGGGTGCCTTGCTCACTATGCTCCCATCTTCCTTTCATGACAAAAGACACAGTTGGGTGAGAGATCCTGTGGCTGCTGTCAGAATCTGTCATTCATTCACATGAAATCACCAGACCATCAGGCAGACTCATATTCTTTTGTCTTTTTTTAGGACACACACAATCAGCAGAGCCCTTCCCTCTCACGTACAGAGAGCCTGCAGAAAAAAATTACCTCACCAATTTTTTTTCTTTTATTTTCTTTATCTCTCCTTTGCTGGAGGGAGGAGAGTGACACAAGGACATGTCTTTGTGTCAGTCGTGTATTTAGCAGCCTTCACCTTTTGACACCACTCACCCTCCATGTCTATCTTTCTGCTCCGTCACTCTGTAAATCTACTCAGTCATGCCTGTTCAGCCAACTTTCCTCCTCTGTATTTCACTTCCTCTGAGAGGCTTTCTAAATCTCTACATCTGAAGTCAAGGGTAAAGAGAAGAAGTTCTTTTAGTTTGTGGTATTAACCTCTAGCAGGATTTGTCTGAAGAAGCCCTGCAGGAGAAAGATTTGATATTTGACTTTGAAATAGCACTGGTATTTAGGTTTTAACTTGTCTTGGGTGTTACTCTCACAATGACACTGCAGTTGTTTTAAACACTAAAGGTTAAAGTATAGTATGTAAAGCTCCCCTGAAACATGCAACTTTAACTCACTATACACTGATGCTGGCATTATCACTATCCAAATAACAAATGAAAAATCATATATTAACCATGTAGATCACTCAGACATGCAGCCTCTCAAGCGTTCACACAATAATGTGCATATAAACACGTACATTTACACACGCACAGCCACCATTAGCTAAATGTATTCATGTGCAGTTGCTGTACTTGCTACTTATGACACTCCTTTTATGCTTTTGCTTTGGCCTTAGTTCACAGAAGTCAATGTTTCTTCTTTTCAGCCTTTTCATCAGGATGCAGGACATTCTTACATGGAGCTACATTTGTGTGATCTTATAAAATGGGGGGTCAAATGACATAAACAGAATAAAAATGATACAGTGTCCACCTTGACAAAATATATAGTTCCATCAAATTAATAACTAATAAAAATACTGTGCACAGTGTTTGATTGGCTGATGGACTGAGTGGCTGATGACTGTTGAATCTGGTTGGTTACCTGGTCAACTGACTTACTGTCGCAGCTGGCTGGCTGGCTGACTGGGTGTAAAGCTGTTTAACCAGCAGCTTGACCTGGCAATAGACCAGCTGAATGGTGACCAACAGACTCTGTAATGGACTGTTGACTGGTCACTGGTTGACTGGTCCAATGACTGACTGACTGCTGAACTGCCTTTCTCCCTTTATTGCTGAATAGCTGGCAGAAAAGTATGCTGACTCACTGACCAAATACAGTATGTGACTGGATAGATGGGCATCTACTGTAATGGAAGTCATTATTTATTGGATCAACAGAATGACCAGCTGACTGACTGAAACAGGCTGACCACCTGGCCTGCCTCTCTGACCATCTGACTGTATGGCTCGCAGGCTAATTAAATGTCTCGATGGTTGGCTAACTCGTCTGTCAGTCTGGTTCTATAAATGCTAAACCGCCTGAGTGTCCAGTTGGGAGGCTGAATGAATGACTGGACACAGTGGGTGACTGTCCAGTTTGGTGCCTGTCTTTTTGGCTGACTGGCTTACATAACAAGTCCTGTCTGCCTTTTTGGCTCCATTGTGAAGTGTTTCATGTCTTATCAGCCCCAACCATTTGCTTCTACAAAGCTCTTCTACCTCTTTCACCCACCACCTTTCATCTTTATGTCTGACTTTTCAGCCCATTCCCGCTCTCTCTTTCTTCATCCTTCTCGTTTTTCATTTTGTCATATTTTCTCTTTCTCTTTATCTCCTTCACACTTTTTCCATTTCTAGCTATCCTCTTTCTCCCAGGCACTGTATTGATCTCTGTTTGCATCCTGATCTGCTCCTTCATCTTTCTTCTATAGTTTCATGCAGCATGCAGCCAACATGCCAACCATCCATGTCTCCATCCACATCCTCCTATTGCTCTGTCCTATACCCTCACTTTCTTTCCCTCTTACCCCCTGATCGTTCCTCTCTGCTCCTATTTCCTCCTCTTTTCTCTGCTCTTTTCACCTCCCTCTTATTAGCACGCCCTGACTCCTCAAGATCACACATTAAGTAACTCCCAAACATGATGTTTTCATCCCAGCTGTAAATACACTGACCAACATCCAGTAAACACACAAATACAGTCATTACTGCCTTCAAACTGAGACAAAGGTATTTGGAGCAAACTGATAACAAACCATAAGGAGTTTCCACTTGTTTGTGTATCTGTTTATATGCATATACAGTGTATGTACATAACTCAAAAAATAGCCTGCTCTGTTTTCAAACGCTTCACCTTCAAACATGATAGACATGAGGGAAATGATTTCCTCTTGAGAATTAATTGACATCAGGCATGGATGGATTACTGACCCAGGGGCCCATGGGCTTAGGGTGCCCCTGGTATATGCTTCTGTTTGAAGTAACTGTTAACATTTCTTGTTGGAAAGTCAATCTAATTACTTGAAAAAGACATAACACATAGAAGGGTGCAGACTGACCACAGAAACAAAACAAAACAAAGAAAATACTACAAAGACATGCAAAACAATTGCAAAGAGAAACAAAATGACTGAGTCTGGGGCTCTTGCCATATTGTAGGAGGTGTGGATGGCCTCTTACATTGTCTCATAATCTGTCCAAGTCATAAAGAAATACTTTAAGGAATATTTCAGCATTTTGGGTTAATACACGTATTCACTTTCGTGTCAGGGGCTTGATGAGAAAATTGCTTCCACTCTCACCTGTCTGTTTAATATGCAGCCATTTAGTGTAGCTTAGCAAAAAGGCTGGAAACAGGAAAAAAGCTTAGCTCTGTCAAAACCAAAATATAAAAATGCCAAGTTTTATATGTTGGGTTGCATGTTGTAACTATTTCTAAGCTAGGATCTGTGACTTCTGCTGCCTGCAATCTCATGGTGGCATGGCTCCAGACTTTGACTGTGCTAAACCAAGCTACCTGGTTTGTGTCTGTAGCTTCATACTTATTGGAAAGATATGAGAGAGGTTTCAACTTTCTCATTTAACTCATCTCATTTAACTTCATAAAAAGCCAATAAGTGTATTTGCCAAAATGTTTAACTATTTCTTTAAAATTTTGTTTCACTCTGTGAAATTAATATTTGGAGCTACTGTATAGTTTATAGGTATTGGCAAATCATTTTGCTTTTTGTCTCAACACCAAAAATGAATAAAAATGGGTGACTAAATCTGTGAATATAGCACTAGTCCTTTCTGTCCACTTGGATGAATTTAACTATTTAGTTAATGTAAAGTTTGATTATACCTAATCTTGTTACAGCATTAGCATCATTCATGATGTTTTCAACTGATTCTAAAATTGCCTGAGCTACATTTTCCCTTTTCATTAAAGAAAGTTTTTGTTTTGTCTTAGTTTCAATTAAAAATCTATTTTCATAAAAGCATCACAAATCTGTCAATTTAGTGTCTTCCCCCCTGAAAAAAATACAATCATATAAACACATTTGTTCACAAACTGTAATGTCACATGTTTAAACCATTATCTGGTCAGCTAACTTCAAAACCTGGTGAAGTTAGTCATACATACATACACACAGTCATACATACTGTACTCAGTCATACAGTACATAGTACAGTCTGCACATCACAGTGCTTTTGAAGCTATAAATTAGAGGTTAACAGTTTTTAGCTTACATCTTTGAATCGTATAGGTATTGCCTTTTAAAGTATGTTTTTCAGCTCGCATCTTCATCCTTCCAGTCTTTATCCCTGCTACTGTCTTTGTGGCTGTGTTGATTTATTCAAGCAAATTTACTTGAAGCTGCTTTGCTGTTCATTAACATTGTGATTCATGTTGAGTCAATGGAATGAGCCCCCCAGGACTTGCTAATGACATTTTAGGAGAAATGTGTCTATGTTCTAACATTGAACATACTGGGGCAACTTTGTTTGTATTATGATGATGATGCTGTCAGTAATAAAAGTATAAAGTTGAAAAATCTGAATCCTCACTTGTGTGGTTGGTTTTGGAAGAGTTTTAACAAATCTAATACTGATGACTGAGTAATGGTTTGTAAGACCTCTAATAATGCAATGCTTGGTGTGTTGTTTTTTTTTTTGTTATAAATGTATTTTTGTTTCTCATACTTTCACATGCAAGTTGACAATTATTCATATTATTTGATATTTGTTGCTATTTATGCAGAAAAGAATGAGCATGCACATCCGTAAGAATATTTTTTGACAACTGCTGAATTTAGCAACTATTTAACAGCAGAAAAATTGAATTGCTAGGTCAAAATTTATGATGAACTCCAAATTTAGAAACAAGAAGTGGCTACTGCCATGCTAGTGGCTCTGTGAGGCTACACTTTGACTTTCAGTAAATCAGCATGCTAACATGCCATATTGATGTTTAATGTATAATGTTTACATAAAGGATACATGTAAGCCTCTTAAGGGAAAAGGCTGGTCATTTTCTAAATTAATAGCATTGTCAGTGATCTTAATACAGAGACTAAAACCGACAGTGAATTGCCTCTAGTCATGGTTAATGTCTGTCAGCGTGTCAGTCCTGTATTAGTTTGTTCATCTGTGTGCTAGATCTCTGTGTTGATGATTAAATGATTAAAAACACATCATGGTAACTCACCACTGTACTGGGTTAAACTTTTTATTGTAATGAAACCCCAGACCCGCTATGTTCCTGAAGATGGCATAAGGCAGAGACAACTGTGCATGCGTGAGATTTTGTGTTCGCTCTCCGCTTTGTTTACATTTTGCTGGCTACTCCTCCTCAGGTCTGGGGTTTGCTAATGAAGAAATGTCACCCAATGCAACGGTGTGTCTCACTGATGTGGTTTTAATCATCCTTGAACAAAAACAGAGGTCTGTGACACAGATGAACAAACTAATCCAGGAATGACATGCTGACAGACATTAACTGTGAGCAGATGCAATTCGTTGTTGGTTTTAGTCTATGTATGGGGAGTGTTGAAAATACTGTCAATATAGAAAATGAACAGGCTTCTACTTTAAATGTCCATATAGAAAAGAACCTTTTCCAAATACACAGGTATGGACTGTAAGTACACTAATTCATTTCAAGCTCTGTTTACTGGAGATAAAAGAGGATCAATTCATTCAGCTTGCTTTGTGGGTTTTGATTGTCTGCTTCCAATCTAGACTTATTTTCAATTTCCTGGATTGAAGTGTGTTCTGTGACTCCCTCACAATCTGTCAGTCTTATTATTGCTGCTTTGACCCATTTTAAAACATGTCTGTCTAAAAATACCCTTTGATTAAACTGTTTTATTCCGTGTGAATCAATTTCCTGAATGAGGAATTCAATCCAAATTATGTTATCTTTTTTATTGTCTTTTAAGAGCTTCATGAACTGTGTCATAGCTTTGGTGTGTTGGATATTATAATTGACTGTTTGATTAATTAGATGAAATTAGTCTTTGATTAAAAGGGGTTTGATAGCATTTTAATAGACTTGGTTTAGTGGGATTACAGAATGGGAAGCTTCAGGCATAATATCGTAGCTCACTGCTCCTGATGACTGTGCTGTCACTCAAAAGTCTGTGTGTTTCCTTTCTTGTAGCTGCTGTAATCTGTGTGCATGCTTCTCTGTGCGTCTTATTCCTAATACACCCACCATCTCACTAGGTAACATTAACCTCTCTCTTTGCTTTCATTTCTGTTAACTGCATGCACAGTAATCATTCTACCTCTTACATTTTCAAAGTAGTAGTCTTCCTCTCTTTTTCGTCTTTTCTCTGTGTATTTTTCCTCTCTTGTACATTTCTGTCCTCTCAGCATTAGTATTGTACTGAGTCAGGTGCAGGTCCCAGTGGAGTCATGTGGAGTCAGACAAAGCATAAAACAAGGCACTGGAAGACAAAAACAAAGATATAAAAATTCTATCTCAGATATGGCCTTTTTAGAACAGCTCTAGTGTTTCCCCCATTTTATAAACTGTGCAGCAATTTCTATCAAGTTTTGGTTGTTGTTTTGTTTTCCTGACAAAATGGTTTCTCTATGAGAAAACTATGGGAATACATACAAATGTATCTGACTATCTTTTTGTTTCATTGTTCTAAATATATGGTAAAGCCAGTCTCTCATTGTAATGTACATTATGTACTTTTAAATTCAAATGTTTTGGTCAATATCCTGCTTTTCTTAAAGCATGGAATTGAATTTTTCCTTCAATGTTGCATTGGTGTATTTCTTATAGAGCTGTGCTCCTCCGACCATCATTTAAAAAAAGCAAAATCCACAGGAATTAGCCTTATTGGTATCATTTTTCTTTGTATGTGTTTGTACATTTACAACCAGACAGCTGGCTCCGCAGTATATGTCTTCATTTTCTTCTTATAATAATCCCAGCTGTCATGTTCCTCCAAACAGTTGTCTCTCTCCCCTTTTGCTGATTTTGTAGGAAGGTCCATATGTAATGCTGAAAAAGAACTGGGAGCTTTATGAAGGCAATGAGCAGTTTGAAGGATACTGCGTGGACTTGGCCTCAGAAATCGCCAAACACATTGGAATCAAATACAAGATCTCCATCGTGCCGGATGGGAAATATGGAGCCAGAGATACAGAGACGAAGATATGGAACGGCATGGTCGGAGAGCTTGTGTATGGGGTAAGTGTTAATGGAAAATATTTTGACTTTATTGATTATTTTGTCAGGGTTTTTTTAATAAAGAGCAGACAATGCCCATCACAAGCTCTTGGTTATTTACTTCAATTATTTAACTAATATGCAGTATTAGTCTAGTAATTTTTAAGGATCACAGTACACTATTAGGTTGTGTATTCAAGGTTGTTGAACCTATCTTATTTAATGATGATGTGTTAAAGCCCCATTCTGTGCTTCTTATTAACAATAGCCTTCCATCCATTATCTATGTCACTTATTCCTGAATAGGGTCGTTGGGGGTGCTGGAGCCAATCCCAGCTGACATTGGGCGAGAGGCGGGGTACATCATAGACAGGTCGCCAGTCTATCACAGGGCTGACACTTAGAGACAGACAAACACCACACACTCACACTCACGCCTACGAGTTGCCTTAATAATATACAAATACACATAATGTTAAATGTTCTAGTATTTCAGAACGACAGTGTACTACAATATAAACTGTATACAGGTTCAATTTACAATATACTGTAATGCAGTCCAGTACAACATCACAAAATCATGGGCACAGAACATCTGTGCTGAATCAGCACTTCTTTGGCACAGCCTCAACAGGTCTATTACATTTCATTATACTGTATGTGCTCCTGCTATTGTGTTACCCCACAACAGGCCAGACACAGTATCTGAGGAAGAAGAAGAAGAACTTGTCTGGAGCTCTGCGTCTCTTCAACTACCATGTCAGTTTCGACGAGTGAGGCTGTCACTCAGAATGCTCACTTAGTTCTTGAGAATTTGGCAAGCTGCTAATTATGTCATTGACACCAATGTGCTGTTTGCGATTTCATCACTTTACTAAGCAGTGAAAGTGGAGACTCTGCTGAAGGACGGTGACGAAATTAATTAGCCTCCAAAACCGATACCGTGGAAACTGACACACCAGAACCGCTGCATTAACTAATCAGGTTTCATCTGTTCCAAACACTTGAAGCCCTGTCTGATGACTCATCTGCCTCATAGAGAGAATACTGTACTTTTGTAAGATGTTGACAGGTTGTGCACTCCCTTTCTCTTTTATATTATGTCCGTTATTCTCTGTTCAGCTTTGTGACTGATCTTCTTCTTTTATTTCATGTTGTGTTTTTTCTCCCGTTTTCTAGTTTATTTCCTCTCTCTCTTTCTACTGGGTTTTTGATGTTCCTCTGCCCTCCCCTTCCCTGTTTTCTGTCATTGCTTCTGACCTCCTTCTCTTTCTTTTTTGCTGTTTATTCTGAATGCTTTGCAACTTCACTTCTTGTGGCAAAGGCACACTTGTTTGAAATGCTGCTATTGTATCCTCTTTTTTCAGCTAAGAGGATAGACGCTGTTTAGACACAGAGAGCCGCTCAGATACAGATAGTGTGCTGAATGAATCATTTTTTTGACTCTTCTACAGATTTTGCATACAGTATATGTGTGTTCTCACACAAGGAAATGTGTGTGAGACCTTGGCAGCTTATTTATATTCTGGCAGTCGCACTTTCATGCCTGTGTATTAATTACTTCTCGGTCATTCGCCCGGTTTTCCGTCTCCCTGTTCTGTCAATTTCAGCTCCTCTCTCTCCTTCTTTCCTCTTTGCCCACTGTACTAGTTTCCTTTACTGGTCTTCCTTTGTTCATTACCATATATAACTTTGGCTTCAAACTCCACTGGTCCGGTGCTTGACCACTAAACTAGCTCCTCATGCTTCAATTTTCCATCCTCCTTCCTTTATCGTTGTCCTCAGACTTTCTCCTTTTGCAGTTCCTGTTCATTATTCAGAGTTCCTGCAAAATAGCTGCACAGCAATATGACTAAAATAAACTTATATTATACCCCCACAACCTCTTTTTTTTGTTTTACAGAAAGCAGAAATTGCAGTGGCCCCACTGACCATCACTCTGGTGAGAGAGGAGGTCATCGATTTCTCGAAGCCCTTCATGTCTCTGGGTATTTCCATCATGATCAAGAAGCCTCAGAAATCTAAACCAGGTGTTTTCTCTTTCCTGGACCCACTGGCCTACGAGATCTGGATGTGCATAGTGTTCGCTTACATTGGAGTCAGTGTTGTGCTGTTTTTGGTGAGTGATTGTAGAAGAATAAGAGTAGTAGGACAGTAACAATTGGACAGGTTATTGAAAGCTTGTGTTCAGGGATGAAAAACATGTCTCTTATTGAGCTCGCAGTGTAAAAAATATTTCTGACCCAGTAATCTATGGCAAGTGATGGCTTGTCTGCCCCTGTAGATCCTAATAAGACACAATTCCTGCCGATCACATATCAGTTTTGTCACTCTCACAACACAGACTGAGGGGATGAGGTTTCTTATCATGTTAGTTTTTACTAACATGATATTTATTCCTGATGATATAATAATTGGGAGCAAACATTCATCTTAATACTTTTGAAAGTACACTGTATAAGTGTTTCACAGATTCTTAAAACCCTTCAATACAGGTATGTGCCAAAAAATTAGAATATCGAGGAAAAGTCCATTTATTTCAATAATTTGTTTCAAAAAGTGAATCTTGTATGTTATATTAGTTCACTGCACACAAAGTGAAATATTTCAAGCCTTTATTTGTTTCAATTTTGATGATTATGGATTAAAGACAAAAAAAACCCAAATCCAGTATTTCACAAAATTAGAATATCATGACAAAGTTCAACATTGTAGGCTCCCTGTGTCCCAATCTAGTCAGCTAATTAA